CAAGTGATCTTTGACAAGGGAGCCAACAATACACAATGAGGAAAAGGCACTCACTTCAACAAATAGTGCTAGGAAAACTGTACATCCACAAGCAAAAAAATGAAATTGAAACCTGTATTAGTCCATCTCTGTTGCCTATAAGGAAATAGCTGAAACTGAGTAATTTATGAAGAAATAAAATGTATTCCTTATAGTTTCTGAGGCTGAGAAGTCAGGGAACACATCTGGTGAGGTATTGGTGGGTGATGACTCTTCATAGCAATGTAGGGTGTCACATGGCAAATGGCTTGAGCAAGCTCTCCTTATAAATCCATCAGAACCACACCCCTTAAACCATAAACTTGTAACTCCACAAATGGCTTAATACATTCAGTAGGGCATGGTCCTCACAAACTAATCACTTCTTAAAGGCCCCACCCTTCAATTACCATAATAGGATTTCCCAGTCTAAACACTGTTACAGTGAGGAGTAATACATGAACCTTTGGGTGACACAATTCTACCCATAGCGAACCTTTATGTCACACCATACACAAAAATTAACTCAAAATGGATTAAAGACATAAACATAAGATCTGAAACTGTAAAACTTCTAGAAGAAAACATAGGATAAATGCTCCATGACATTGGTCTTGGCAATGATTTCACGGATGCGATACCACAGGCACAGGCAACGGCAACAAAGGCAAAACAAGCAGGGCTACGTAAAACCAAAAAGCGCCTTCACAGCAAACAATCAATACAGTAAAAAGGCAAGTGATGGAATAGGAGAAAATATTTGGAGATCATATATCTGATAATGGTTTAATATCCAAAATACATAAGAAACTCCTACAACTCAATAGCAAACAAAGTAATAACCCAATTAAAAATGGGCAAAGGACTTGAATAGACTTTTTTCCAAAGACTTATAAATGGCCATCAGGTATATGAAAGGGTGCTTAACATCATGGATCATCAGGAAAATGCAAAACCACAATGAGATATTACCTCACATTTGTGAGAAATACCATAAGCAAAAAAAACAAAAGAAAAGTGTGGCTGAGGAGGTGGAGAAACTGAAATCCTTAGGCATTGTAGGTGGGATTGTAAAATGGGAAAGGAACTAAGGAAAACAGTATGGATGTTCCACCAAAAATTAAACAGAGAACTACCATACAATCCTGCAATCCCACTTTTTGGTATATATCCAAAATAATTGAAATCAGGATCTTGAAGAGACATCTGCACCCCACGTTCATTGCAGCAGTACTCACAATATAGCCAAGATATAGAATCAACCCAAATGTCTACCTACAGATGAAAGGATTAAAAAAATGTTTTATATACATACAATAAAATACTATTCAGCCTTAAAAAGGAAATAAATACTACCATTTGCAACAAGATGGATGAACCTGAAGGTCATGTTATGTGAAACAAGCCAGACACAGAAGGACAAATACTGCATGATTACACTTACATGATGTGTCTAAAATAGTGAAACTCATGGAAGCAAAGAATAAAATTGGTTGTCAGGGGTTGGGGGAAGAGGGAAACAGAGAATTGCCGATAAACAGGTATAAATTCCAGTTATGCAAGATACTCATCACGTTCTTGAGATCTGCTGTACAACACTGTGCTTACAGACAGCAATACTGCATTGTACACCTGAAAATCTATTAAGAGGTAGATATCATGGTAAGTGATCTCACCACAATAAAAATGTTAATAAAAGTCAATTTTATTATTTCTGGGTTTTTTATATGAATCTACTGATATGTTTACTATGCATCTGAGTTAATATCATACTTTTCCAAAACATGGTAATACTCAGTAACTGACAGCATTCTTCAGGGGGCTGCTTTTTTTTTTAATAATTATTCTTTCAAATTGACTTTAAATTCATTTTGTCATGTTCCAAAATGAAAGTAATATAAAAACATCTGTAACTTGACTGAAATTGCATTAAATTTATAAATTAATTTGAAGATGGATATATTTCCAATATCTAGTCTTCTCATAAAACCACACAGCCTTTAACTCAAATTATCTATTATGACCTTCAGCAAACTTCTGTATCTTCTTTAAACAAGTCCTACATATCTCCTGTTAAGTTGATGCTGAGATATTTAGAATTTTGGGAAATAATAACAGGTTCCCCCCCCCCATTTTTCAAAATGGTTATAATTGATTTATTGGGACCCTACTTATTTCAAAACTATATTTCTAATACTACTTAATTAATTCCTTTGCTTTTCAAAACTAGATAATCATATAATCTGCAAATAACTGCCCCTTCTTTCAAATATTTGTTCCTAAACCTTTTCTTTATTCATCGCATCAGCTAGAACTTCCAAAACAAGATAAAGCATAGTACTGATAATGAGTATCATGTCTGCTGGACATTTTATGATTTCCCCTCCAAATCCTAAACCCAGTCTTCTCCTCTATGTTCTGTGCTTTGAAGATTGACCTATGTGGACTACATCCAACTAAATGTGACCGAAAAGAGGCACTGGCAGAGATAAGAAGCCGGTAGGAGAATAAGGTTGATTAATCCCCTGGACCCTTTCTCTCTTGGGTCCTCTCATGTTGGCAGTGCCCCTCTACCTTAACTCCCATAGGGTCAGTCTCTCCTACAGTTATGACTACTTCCTCCAAGATCCAGTAAGTTCCCTCCCCTTACATCTATACATCCCTAGGAAGTCCATACATTCAAGTTATCCCAAAAACACTTCTGTTTGATTCTTCTTGTGGGGAAAATAGTGTATCACCTTACATTTAAGATCATCTTACTTTCATGTTTAAGTTTCAATAGGCAGTGAGTTTTAAATATAATATTCATAATACCATTCTCTTCAAAATTTTTTTTTTTTTTTTTTTTTTAAGATGACCGGTAAGGGGATCTCAACCCTTGGCTTGGTGTTGTCAGCACCACGCTCAGCCAGTGAGCAAACCGGCCATCCTTATATAGGATCCAAACCCGTGGCCTTGGTGTTATCAGCACCGCACTCTACTGAGTGAGCCACGGGCCGGCCCATTTTTTTTTTTTTTTGTCCTTTTTGAAACCGGTCGCACCATGCTCAGCCAGTGAGCACTGTGAGCGCACCGGTCATCCCTATATAGGATCCGAACCCGCGGCGGGAGCGCTGCTGCACTCCCAGCGCCGCACTCTCCTGAGTGCGCCATGGGCTCGGCCCTTCTTCAAAATATTTTAATTATATCTTAGGTCTCCTTGACACAAGAGTTGCTTAGGAGAGTATTTTTAAACTACCAGCTCGTCTAGGGGTGTCTGTTGTCATCTAGTCTCCCCACACTGTGGCAGGAGAATGAAGCCTGCTCTGCCTCACTGCCTGCCATCCAGGCCTCCCAGTCTTCCAGATCCTGCTCCATGTTATTTCCCATAGCACTCTCCACCTTCTAGCATTCCATGTAATTGATTTACTTCATATGTTTATAGTTAGTCTTCCCCACTAAAATGTAAACTCCCTGAAGGGTAAGTCTTTATCTAATTCATTAAGGTATTCCAAATGCCTAAAGCAAAGTCTGGCACATAGTCAATACTCAATGAAAACTTGATGAGTGAATGAATAAAGCATGGGTTTCACTGCTTCTTATGCTATTTTAAGTTCCACTGTGGCATTGCTTCATGACACTGCGTCCTTGACTCTGAGTGCTTCTTTGTCCATTTTAAGCTCTTATCTTCTCATTGCTCTTTATTCATTTCTTATTTCCCTGAATTCATGTCTTCCTTAACTTCACTGTCAGCCAAATCAAATGCTAAATTTACCTTCCTATTCTACAGGAAATCTTTTACAAACATATGACTTTTCTTATGCATATAATATTTTTTTAATGAAGGATGGTGTCTCGTAAGCTCTATTTTAATTTTTCCATATCTATTTCTGAGCCTAGTATTTGCTCAAAAACAGTGTAAATTCTGTTTAAGTGCTTCCTTTTACACCAACACGTGCTTAAAATTGTACTCTCAGGTCTGCAGCTCAAGGGCTGGTTAGGGGAAGTTTTTATTACTCTGTCAGTGCTGGAGGAGCCTGAGGGAGGTAGGAAGGAGAGCCAGCGCTTGGGGCTGCAGATATTCCACAGTGTGCTGTTACAGATTACCATCTTTCATATCTAACTTTCTCTCAGGCTTAGCTTCTACTTCACATATTCACTGTGGCTATATTTAGTCCTCTGCTTGGGACTACTACCTATGAAATTAGGAAGGAACATTGTTATATTATGATGAATATGCATCAGAAAGAAGCCCAACCAACCCTTGAACTCTGGCATTATTTTTAAACTCTGGCAAAGGAAGAGGTTCAAAGATCAAATCACAGTCTCCGGTTCCAAACCTCCTGACTTCAAATCCTAGTCAAGAATTAGGATGTGTCCTCAGTTTCCTCATCCATAAATGGAGATAACAAAGTACCTACACCTCACTAGATTGCTGAACAATAAGTGAGTTGATATCTGTAAGTGCCTAGAATAAGGCCTATCTATAAAAAAAGCTTAATAAATGTTAACTGTTCTTTCTTCTCTCTGTCTTTCCTCCCACCTTTATCTCTATAAAACATGGTTTATTAATGGGAATATGTCAGGATTTCTTCTTCTAATATAGTAACAACACAGCACTTTTTCAAAAAGAAGTTTCGTGAGAAAATTTTCCTACAGTCCTTCAATTCAATCCAATCTGCACTGAATCTAGCAGAAATGCTTCCCTAATTTCTAATTCAGATGTAAACTCTCCATGTTCATATACTCTTTTGGTTTATCAATTGGTTTACAGAAGAGAGCAGTTATATATTTGTGCCTACATAAATGTTTCTTCCCTAAAGCTCTCTGGAATTACTTATTTAATGAAAAAACAGACTTCTAATTGATGTACCATGCAATTAATTTCAGAAAACCAGGAATAACTTTTTCTATTTTTTCAGCATAGGCATGAGTATCTGTCAGTTTAAGAAATAACCTACAATACCATATTAAGAATAATCAGAAGGAACTCAGTTACTCACGATGCTCCTGAGTTCATGATGCAGCTCTTTGCTTCACATAAACAATCTCTCCCATCATCATGATTCATGCCAAGATTATGACCCAATTCATGAGCAACGATGGACGCAAATGTCTCCACAGTGATTTGCCCAAACTGTCCAAACACAGGAAGGTATTAATTAGGTTTCTGAACAAAAAGAAAATGTTTTGTGTCTCATATTATTTTTTCACAAGAAATTTATTCACTGTATTGACAGTCTATATTATAAATCAAGCGTCCAACAGCAGTCTTTATACATTTCAGTCTAGTAAGCAACTGGTGTGACTCACATACTGATGATGGAGATGGATCCTTTAGGGAACAGATCAATTACTTTAGCACTAGTAGATTATTTATAGTTGTGTATGGGAAAACAAACGGACAATTCTAATTCAGTTCTCTCAAATGGAGCCTCTGTTTCCTTACACATAAAAAGTAAAAAGCTAATAAATGTATAACAAATATTAGAAAACATGATCCAGTCTCTAGGGAAGAACATTGCCACTTCTACTGTGTCCCTTGTAATAAGGACAAAGTATCATTTTAAGGACCAAGGGAGGAACTACAGAGTCAACAAATGCTTGCTAGTGTCCTAACATGGCAGCCGAAGTTGAACGTCAAGAACAACGTACCAGGGCCAGCCCGGTGGCGCACTGGAGAGTGCGCCGCTTGGGAGCGTGGCGGCGCTCCCGCCGAGGGTTCGGATCCCATGTGGAGACCGGTTCCCGCTCACTGGCTGAGTGCGGTGCGGGCGCAACACCGGGGGTTGCGATCCCGTTACCGCTCAGTAAAAAAGACAAAAAGGAAAAAAAAAAAAAGAACAACGTACCACGTTAATCCCACCTGCGTGGCTCCTCGAACACACCGTTCCCACGAACGCCATTCCTGCCGTCCCACCAAAACCTTTCTTTCTAAATGAAAAGATAAAAGTTATAAATGTACTTGGAGAAAAAGAAACACATTACTCCTATTTCTGTAGGTAATCTTAACTGGACTGAGAGAACCAACTGGGAGAAGAATGGCAAAAATAAATAACATTTTAAATTCAGAACATAGTTAATGCCTTACCTCTTTTTTATTAACAGAGAATGAGATTAACATTAAAAATGCTTTTTAAAAAATTTTTTCAAACATATTATGAAGAAACCTTCTAGATACCCAGCCAAGTTGTTTTTTTATAAACTTTCTAGATGAAACCTTGCCTAAAATGCATTACATTTATTTATTCAATAAATTTCAGTGAGAGACAGACAAGCTCAAGGACTATACTCACATAGGAGGCTGCCAGGCACTGAGCACAATGAACAGGGGAGGATCGCAACGGTCTCCACACTGTTCCTCAATCACACCCCACACACAGGTATCACAGGACCTATTCCCTCTTCCTGAAACTATCTTCCCCAATGTACACCCCTAAATCATTCCCTCAACTTCCTTCAGGTCTTTACTCAAAAGTCACCTCAGAGGGCCGTCCCGTGGCTCACTCGGGAGAATGTGGTACTGATAAGACGAAGGCCACAGGTTCGGATCCCATATACGGATGGCCGGTTGGCTCACTTGGGAGAGCATGGTGCTGACAACACCAAATCAAGGGTTAAGATCCCCTTACCACTCACCTTCTTTTTTTTTTTTTCTTTTTTTTAAAGATGACTGGTAGGGCCGACCCCGTGGCTCACTCAGTCATCTTTAAAAAAAAAAAAAAGTCACCTCAGTGAGGCTTTCCTCAGCCATGTTACCTCGTATTTCCTCCTCATTCCTCCAATACTGTTATGTCTACTTCCTTGTCTTATTTTTCCTCTTTATCACTTAACATTACTTAACATTCTATACATCTTATTTATCTCATTTATGGCCAATCTCTTCCACCAGAATATGGACTCCATGAGAGCAGGAATTTTTGTCTACTTTGTTTACTGTTATATTCCAGTGAATATACCCAATAAATATCTTTTAAATAAACAAATGAATCCTTCTGCAGGGCATCTGACCAGCCTGAAAAAGACAGAACTAGAGGTATTGACATAAGGGGGTTGCCAAGGAAACATTCCAGCCAGATCACCCTACAGTGAACACCACAGGTACAAGACCCATTCATGTACTCAAAGCTTCCAAAAGTCTTTTTAGGATACCATTCTTAACTACAAACAGCCAACCAAGAATCATCAAACAGCTGGGAAACGTCTCTATCAGGAGAGATGGAGACCTAACAAATGGGGGGGGAAGGTAGTTTGGTAAGCATAGTTTGGCAAGGAGTATGCTTGCCGCCTGCTCCTTTTGGTCTTTTGTGAACTAGACAGTATTCTCACTGGCACAAGGATACTTGCATGTGCAATTTTACTAAAAACTAATAAAAAGGTCTTGACCAAGACTTGTGATTATGAGGCCATAAAAGCCTATTTAGGCACTTTCAGTGATTTGCATTAAATCAACTCACATTAACAAGAGAAAACAAAGGGAAGAAAGAGAAAAAAAATTAAAAGGACCAGGACAAGAAACCCAATTGACAAATAAAAGGAATCCCAGAAGAAATGAAGAATAAAAAGAAAATAGACAATAAAATCATTTACAACATAATTTAAGAAAAATTCCTAAAACTGAAGTACACCTGCTTCCAGATTGAAATTACCCGCTAACACAGCATAATAAGGGATAAAAGACCTACACAAAAACATATCATCAGGAAAAATGCAGAAGCCTGGGAACCAAGAAAAGATTCTACAAGTTTCCAGTGATGGGGAAAAAATGCAAAGGATCAGGAATCATAACGGTTTCGGGCTTGTCAGTAGTAAGACTGGAAAAAGACAACAGGGCAATGCCTTCAAACTTGTGAAGGAAAACATTACATGCCTATAATTTTATATCCAGCTGAATAATCAAAAAGTTACAAAACAAACTAGAAAGCAGACCTCTGAAAGACTGAGTTACTTAGGCCCTAGGATAATCAGAGATCAAACTGAGATAATCTTTAAATTTTGTTCTGAGGCTGTGAAAACGCATTTTCAGACAAGAGGTCAAAATTTTTTCTTTCCATATACCCTTTCACAAAAAGCAACTAAAAAACATGATACACTAAGATAAGTAAACCCAAGAAAGAAGAAGGACACAGGATAAATGTGATGGGAAATCCAACACAGAAGACAGGTCTCATTATTATAATGTCACAACTTATCCTATGATATCAAAATAAGTTTGCCTCATTTAAATGAATGCACCCAAACCTTAAGAGAATTCTAATACAAAAAAATAAGCAAAAATTATTATTCAGACCATTTCATTAATAGTACTTTTTAAAAAAAACACTTACAGAACTAGCTGTGCACTGTCATGCCTACGACGTGTTATAAGAAACTTTTCCCGCCACTGCACAAAGTTCCCCAACACATCACCAGCACCTCCAATTATGCTGATCAAGTTTCCATTTGTCCAAATCTCCAGTCCAACTAGCACAATTCGAATATTTAACATAATATACATCTAGGAAGAAAAGAGAAATAAAAGTATATAAAATATATTAAAGAATATGAGAAAAATCTTTCAACTATGTGAAGTAACATAACTAGTTATATTAAAAACAGGACTCCCCACCTCCAAATAAAAAGAATTTAACACAATGAGACTCTAACCTCTCAAGAGTCAGCTTCCTCATCCATAAAAGATAGTAATAGAGATTCAAAATCCTGTTTATCTTATATTCTAAAATATGCAAACTCTGGAAATTAAAAGTTTTTGCTAAATTTTGTTCCAAAACTTGCCCTAAAGTAATGCAAGCCTGTTCATAGTCCATACTTACCCCACACAATATAAACATTCATACATTTCACTTCAGAAATATCAACGCATTTGATCACAAGGTACTACCCCACATCCAGTTGGAGGTGTTACGTAATGCACAGCGAAGAGTTTACCTTTCTAAACTCTTGTCTAAAATTCTAATCATAGGTACGCCAAAGGTTTCAGATAAAAGACTGTGAAACTGTTCATCTATTTCACAGAGATACTGTAAGGAGTAAACTGGTTACTAAATGCAGAGCACCTAGCTCAGTTTCTAGCACTTTCTAAGTACTCAGTAGAATTCTTCTATCATCATCAGTATCATCATTATTATTATGCTTGGTGTTCGTATCAGGGGAGCACCTTATAGATAAAATTATCTTATAAAAATATACATCTAATTCTTTAATATCTCCCACTGGATAAGCTACAAAATCTCAAACCAAATCACACAAACACACACAGAAATTAATATTTTATATCATAGTTTCAGGGTAAGAGGCAGTTTCATTCTCAATAAAAATTCAAAGATCTTTTCATAAATGCCAAAGTATCTTAGCCTCTCTAATCTGAAGATAAAATAGCTGCCAATATGAAATCTCTTATTCTTCTCAAAGCCTTTCAACATTTATACCTTCCTTTCAAAAATTTTTAAAAGTTGGGCTGGCCCGGTGGCGCACTGGAGAGTGCGCCGCTTGGGGGCACGGTGGCGCTCCCGCCGAGGGTTCGGATCCCATGTGGAGACCGGTTCCTGCTCACTGGCTGAGCGCGGTGCGGGTGCAACGCTGAGGGCTGCGATCCCGTTACCGGTCAGTAAAAAAGAGACAAAAGGAAAAAAAAAAATTTTTTTTAAGTTATATAACAAACTAGAAAGCAGATCTCTGAAAGACTGAATCATTTAGGCCCTATCATAATCAGAGCTCAAAATGAGACAATTCTTAAATTCTGTTGTGAGACTGTGAAAGGATAGGACAGAATTATCTTAGCTCATAAAAAAAATACAACTTACACTATCCAAGTAGTTTGCTAAACGAATCATCTCTTCTCTCACAGCAGTCTGATTTCTTCCCATCATGTCATACTGGAAAAGCAAAGAAGGAAAATCATTATCACCAAAGTAGTTTAAGAATAAAAATGTCTAGTCTGTTACAGTGAAGATTCAAATATTTCCTCTAAACTAAAAATTGAGCCATTTAGACATTTATCAACATTTCAAATTAATAAATCTAACAGATACATTCTAGTACTAAATAGAAATGAAAGAAAAAAAACAGGCACAAGTGTGAAATAATTAATGAAAAAGCACTGAAGTCTTCATTTTCTCCAAAAAAGTATAACTTTTTCTTAAAATTCTTTTTATTCATGCAAAAATATTTTCAAGCAATTCACAAAGATAGAGTTTAAAACAATCAAAATGCATAGATAAAGGAATAAAAGACAGTATAAAGGGTTTCCTGACCCTTCCACCTCTTAGGCTAATGACATTACCAATAAACCAATTCTAAATCCTAGGCTAAATTAATACTGAGAGATTAACCAGTGATCACTAATTGAAAAATTATACATAGACAGATATACAGACATATCTGTAAGTTGAACAATAGCAAGCCAAATAATTTATATGATTCTTTTGAGAACTGGCTAAATGCAAATATCCATTTTATCATTATTTTATAAAACCAACTTACTAACCAAAAGAAAAATTTTAAAATAATTAATTATTTCGCTCCATGATAAAGACATTAGTATCATAATATGTCAGATTCAATCATTTAGGCATCTTATCATGATTCTCCTAAACAAGCAAAAAATTTTTAATACATTCAACAGGGTTGATTGAAATGAAACCATTTTTTAGAGAGAAATTGGTAAAGGGTACAAAAAATGTTTACATTGTGTAATGATAAAATAAAAAACATAATAAAATAAATTTTTAAAAACTGAATCTATTTTTATTTTGAACTATTTTCTAATTGTATATAACAAATCTATTTGGAGAATGCAATAAATAATAAAATAAACATTTTAAATCTCCATTTTGGTGATATGTCCAAAACATTCTACAGAAACTTTTCACCCATTACTTGGGGCAGAGCGCACACTTGCTTGTATTCCCTATGCTTTTCCTTCTACCACTGGAGGGTAACAAACCCGTAATGAACAAATCTGAGTAAGTTTTTATTTCTTTATAACTATGGCTTGGTTTTTTTCCAACCTATACACAATAAGGGATTTTTTTTTTCCCCCTTTTTTTTGTCTTTTTTCGTGTCCGGCAACGGATCGCAACCCTCAGTGTCGCACCCGTACCGGACCGGGACCGGCAACGGGATCGCAACCCTCGGTGCTGCGCCCGCACCTCGCTCAGCCAGTGAGCGGGAACCGGTCTGTATGTGGGATCCGAACCCTCGGTGGGAGCCCCGCCGCGCTCCCAAGCGGCACACTGTAGCAGTACGCCACCAGGCCAGCCCCACAATAAGGGATTTTTTTAAAAACTCCTCAAATCTCTGCAGTTTACAAGACAGGAACTGCAAACATGCTTCTACAAATAACTTTTTCATTCAAATAACAAAGTTGGAAGTAAAAGTAAGACAAAATATTTTAAATAATCTATCTTTTAAATTATATTGCAGCTATATCTAAAACTAGTAAGCCTGTAAACACTGAAATAAATACATTGCTTCTCTTGGTTAAGTTAGGTACTTATATCAATGTCTTAAGTATAAATAAGGAAAATGCCCTCGTGTTATCCTGTACACTGAGACTATTCCTATTCCCTTCTAAAACATGTCAAGAGTTAGAAGTTTTCTATTACTTAAAGTCAAGTACAGGTGAGCTGAAATTCTAGAAGCATAGCAATTTTATGAGGCAACAAGGTAACACCTGGTTAACTTGGTTTATAGCCACAGGCAATTAATCTGAAAAGTTCTCAAGGCCCTAACTGATAGGCAATACAGTTGCACTCAAGAATTTCAGGATAAGAAAATCACCAGAAAGAAAAGGAAAAAAACCTGTACAGGCCAGCCACCAAAAAATAAAAAAAGGAAAGGAAAAAAATCACTAGTGAAAAATAAAGGTAGTCTCATTTGCTGCACCCAGGTTCTGGTGGCATTCTGGTGGTATATTGTGGCATTAATGTTTAAAGGAAAACTATCTTAGTTTTGAAGTTATCACGTAAGAAAAGTCAATACAAATACATTATACTTCATATTTCCTTCTTGGGATGCTCACTTCTCATCTGCTTTTCATGAAAAAGAAGAAAAACTGTCACCAATCCTACCCTTTCCTTGTCAACAACAATGAACAGCTCCACATATCGGGTCTGTGGCAGGATAGCTCTTCTTCTCTGTCAAGAACAAAAACATCATAAAGGCAAAAAAAAAATTATAAGGCTACACGTTTGACACATGTAATGATCATACCCTAATCTCTAGTCACTTATTTCATGCCTGCTAAGAACAACATACAATTATTTTACTTAAAATATCCTACATCAATAAGGATAAAAACGCCAAAGACGTTTTTTTTTAAAGTGTTATCTGCTATCTGAACTGATGAGAAAAATTCTAGTTAAAATAGCTTATTCAAGATTCCAAAGCAGAATTACTGATTTTCCAAAATCAAAACTACACATATACACATATACACATTTTAATTACTATGTTGAGAGAGAGAAATATCCACTAGTATCCCAGAAGTTGAAACCATGTTGCCACTTTAAAAAAGGACTAGTTTTGTCATTTAACAGAAATTCATACCATGTGGATAAGCAAAAATTTAAGTGTCTTCCAATGTCTAAAGTTAAAAAGAACAGTCCAATAGTCAAAAGAGTAGATGGCAGGAGAGGCAATGAAAATAATGCCATAAACTAGTATAAGTAAATTTAAAATATACCTCCTCCAGCATGGCAACATCAACTCGAATTTACAAAGGTATACTCCCTACAGCTGAGGTTGATCTAGTCCTAGAACCATTTCAGTCTAAGAGACCCACGTCAAGAGTAAATCAAGGGGTCCTAAAGAAGTCTCAGAAGAGGGAGAAGAGTGTACTAGGAAGATATCTGAACTAATTAAAATGTTAAAGCCAAATCTCTCTCTCTGTTTCTCCAATCTAGAGCTCAAGACTCACCATTCCAGTTTGTGTAAGAGCTATCTAAATAAAAACTCCATTGCTCTCTGAAAGACGATGTAATGGTCTATTAAGTAGCGATGCTAATGTAACTAGTGTTTAAGATTTAAACCCTAGTTTTCAACCCCCACAGAATCTAAACTGTACTCAATTTGGTAGCAGAAACTGTATATTGCTCAACCTTTTATTCCCTACTACCCATCACAATGTCTGGCATGCAAGTTGGCAAATAAATAAATTAAATTAAATTAAATAAATAAATATTGGTTTAATAAATAAATGCATGATTTTTTTTTATTAGTCTGAGCCATGAAGAATCATATTAGGTCCTTACTCGAAGTAGCTGAGCCATTCTGGGAGGCTCCTCCTCTTCATCCTTTGTGGTTTCTTTCTCTATGTCCTCGTTGGAAACTCCACATTTCAGAGGCTCTTTGTGGACATCATCCATTCGATAAAAGATGTGCTCAAAATGAGAGCTGTTTTGCAGGGGTTCAATCCCGTAACTCACATTCTCTAAATGCAACAATCCTCTACATGGTGCATTACACATACACAGTTTTTAAGGGGAAAAAAATACACATAAAAAGGAATCAGAAAATCTGAATTCAAGTCCTACTCCTTAACATGTGTAAGAAGGGGTAGCATGGTACGGAGAGAAAACCAGAGGCTTTAGAGTCAAGCAGACTTAAATTTAAAGCTCAAAACTGCTACTTCCTAGCATCACCGCTGGTAAGTTACTTAACCTCTCCCCATGATTACTGGAAGGTGATACAAACTGTGTGAGTATGGGATCTAGAGCCAGAGGACTGGCATTTGAATCCCAAATATGTTTCTGACTAGCTATGGGACTCTCTGCAAGTCATTTAACCTCTGCCTTAGTTTACATTCTGCATAGCATTGTTCTGAAAACTAAATTATTTAATAAGCACAAAATACTTAGAACACTGCCTAGCACACAATAACTATTCAGTAAGTGTTATTACTTAAGTGAAGATAGTCACAAGCATCTTATATAGCTGGTTTGAGAATTAAAAATAATATTTATTAGTTCAATCAAACAATCATGCAGTCAACCAACCAGCACAGTGCCATACTGTCAGGCCCTCTATAAATGTTCTTTTAATATTATTATAACTTCATTTGATACATGATACAATTTCTCTGAACCTCAGTTTGTTCATCCAAATATGGAGATAATAAGCCCTTTCTCATAGTCATTACATAGATGAAAATTTTGTAAATGTAAAGTGCCACAGAAACTTAAAGTATAATTTATTTTAAATATCAAAAATTATTTAGTGGTCTCAAAAAATGAAATTTCCTCTTTAGATATTAAAATTCATCAACTATATTTTTCCTAAATAAATATGCCAAGAATATTTGAAACATAGCTATAAAAACCTTCAGTCACATCAAAGTAAAATCCAATTTTGTTAAGGCTCCAAAATGACTTGATTTGGAGACTAAGATAGGAAAAGGGGTAAGAAATAGGGGAAATTAAAAAAAAAAAACATAGATCTAGAAAATTTCTTACCTGAGTCCAAAACAGTTGCTAAGAGCAACGGATGAATTATAAACTCCCTCCACATAACCCCGATAATGACAGTGATTCTAAATGAAAAATACTATATTATTCCTGAAAATCATCATAGAAACTGCAGAGCTAATAAAATTAGTTGAGGCCAGTAAACTAAAAAGTTTTATTTATATTATTGACATCTCATAATATTACATGGCATTTTTCAGACTATATGTAGACTATCTACTATCACTGTACAAGTATATATATTTAGGCAGAATTCCCAGAAGATACTAAGTACAAACAGCTCTGCCCCAATGACCTTTTAGTCTAGAAGCAGAACAAGACAGCCTTATGCCATATTTAATATTTTAAATCACAGTCGATCCAAGAAGCAATAGCAGCCAATTGATATCTAATATAGGAGAGGACCTTATGAGAGGTTAATAAGGCCTGGGGGAAAAGATTTTGATCTGATGATTTTCTTTTCTTCCCATAGGTGTACTTATTATATTATTTAATTATTCTTATATTATTACTAATTATAAATATAACCATCTTCAAAACCTCACATCTTTGCCCTTAATTTTAAGCAAGAAATTAACCAATGGAAATGCAAGGATAATATCACTTAGTAATAACAAACTCATAGTACTTAATGAAATTTTTTCATCTTCAAAACAATTACAAAACACTAAAATAGAAAAGCCAAGGCACAGGGAGCACTGGCCCTACCAGACATTAAAACATATCATAAGGCCTTGATAATTAAACAGTATAGTAGTGGTGCATTAACAGAATAGAAAGTCTCCTAATAGACCAAGTACAAATGGAACTTTATATGATAAAAGTGGCATCTCAAATCACGGGGGTAAAGATGCACTTTTTAATAAACGTTGCTCAGCCCACTGGTTAGACATTTGGAAAAGGATAAAATTAGATCTATACCTCACACATACATAAGAATAAACTCCAAATAGATTAAGAATCCAAAGAGAAAAAATGAAACCATACAAGATCTAGAAGAAAACATGTGTGAATTCCTCTTTCACCCAGGTATAGAGAAAAACTTTCCATCACTCAAAATCTAGATGTAATTAAAAAAAAGATGGAAATTTTTTACTGTATACAAAATAAATTTTTAAGCTTCTACATGGAAAGAAATAACAAAAAAAAAAAAATCAAAAGACAACTGATATACTGGAAGCAGTCTATCAGTTATTTACATCATAGATACTTACATCATAGATAAAGGTTTAATCACCTTAAATATAAAGAACCCTTAAATACTGAAGGGAAAAGATCAAAAGCCCAAAAGAAAATTGGGGAAAAGACATGATCAGACAATTCACAAAAGAAGATATAAAAATGCCCTTATATATATGAAAAGATTTTCAGTCTCACTCATGACAGAGTAAGAATCCATTAGTCCACACTGATATAAACAGATAAGAGAAAGCTCTTCCCTACAGTACAAAGCACTAATAAATACAGAAGCAGTGGTGAAATTAGGAAATCACCATTTGACAGCCATCATAGCAACAGTTGATTCAGGCAAATATTAGGTACTGAAACTAGCAGATAAAAAATTGAGGAGTAAAAAGATATTTACACAGTCTCAAAGTATCTAACCATAATATGCATTTAAAAGGTGAAAACAGTAACTTTAGAGGAAAAAATCTGGCAGACAACTCCTTAACCAAACTACGTTTACATTGTCAAGTAATAGTACTAATCAACAGCATATGCTTACTAACGTGATACAGTGAAAACCATTCAGTATCACTTCAGTGGTATTCCTGCAAAAGTGCATAACATGAACCCAATCATGAGCAAACATCAAACAAACCCACATTGCAGAGCATTCTGCAAAAGCTGGCCTGTGCTCCAAAAATGCTAATGTCACAAAATAAAAGGGACAACTAAAAATTTCGAGATTGAAGGAGATTAAGAAGACATGACTACTGAATGTCATACATAAACTTGGATTTTCTTTTGCTATAGAGGACATTATTAAGATAATTGACCCAAAAAAACTCAAAAAGGTCTATAAATTACATAATAGTACTGTTTCAATGGTGATTTCCTAATGTTGAGAATTGTACTATGATTACAAAAGAGAAATCCTTGTTTTTAGGAAATTTACACAGAAATATTTAAGGATAAAGGGGTACCATATCTGGGCTATACTCTTAAAAGGTTCAGAAAAAAATAGAGGGGTAACGAAAAAGCAAATGTAGTAAAATGTTAACATTTGGAGAACCCAGGTGAAAAGTTTACATGAATTTTTTGTATTATTCATGCAACTTTTCCTGTAAGTATAAAACAGTGGGGGGAAAAATTTTTTTAACAATTATACACCAAATAACACAAACTCGAATTACAACTTTCTCTAGTGTGAGGCAATTCATAAACACTAATTTTTTCTTTCTAGTGCTTCATAGTTAAAGTCTAGCTTTGATATTTCCTTCTCTTACTAAAGGAAAATAAATATGTTGTACTAGTACCAATGAGGTTAACAACTATGCGATATAATAGAGTAACTCATAGCACTCAAAAACTAAATGTTTCTAGTTTCAACTATAATAGAAGCTCTCCTATCTAACCTGACTGACATCCAGTAGGTGATCGCTTAATCTACCAATTTAATGGTACTTTTTTTAATAACTTGCTTTTATTAAACATTTGTATAGCACTCAATTTAGTTCTCAAAAAATAACAAATGATATTTTGTAAGTTTGCAAACATCTAAACTGCATGACTACAATAAAGATACAACTGGCACAAACAATTTTGTAAACACACAAAACACAAGTGAGAAACTCAGCTCGTGAGAGCAGAAGCGCACAGGACCGTCAGAGAACAGCCTACTACACAAGAGCCCAGTGAGCCTGGAGCTGACAGCATATGCTCAGAGGAAATGAGAAGATCAATTAACCAAGGGAGTCGGTTAAGAGAAATTATACTGCATTTGCAAGATACCCCAAAGTTCTAAGATATAGTAATTTGAAATTTTATTTCACACAGCTACTCATATTAAGTGATTTTTCTAAATTTTGTTTCTTTGTGAAAAATGGCTTCATAAAAGACACTGATGATGAAAGCCATCTAATAGCTTTATAAATTAGTTTAATCTTAAGCAACAGAATCCTAAGAGAAAGCATTTAAATTTTCTCAGTGTATCTTAATTGTATTTTATGGACAAAAGTATATGTCATTACAATATATGACAATTTAGCCATATGCAAAAAAATCCCATTATCAAAATTTAAATTTGTACTTCAAATCTACAATCACATTTTCATCTACCAGAACATATATTAAATAATCAAGAAATAAGTGAAAGATTCCATCTGTTTGATGATATATTTCAAACACCAAGGAAAGCATAACAATTCTATAGTACTTTTAAGATAATAGTTACATAAATTTCTATATAATTGAAATCTATTTTTAGCAGTTTGAAGTACATATACTTTCAATAATAACAAATAATGATATTAATTGAGTAAAAAAAAAGTCAGACTGTCTGTTCTAAGCATCCTACAAGTAATAACTTGTTTGAGCCTCCCAATAACTCCACAAAGTATTCTCATTTTAAAGTGAGGACACTAAGGCACAAACAGGTTAAAGTAACTTCACCAGCAAATAAATAACAGAGCCAGAATTCAAGCCCAAACAGTATATGTCTCCAGAAAGCATGCTGAAAAACTTATACAAGGAAAAAATGTCCCCTAAGATTACTAGTTTTGTCAAGAGGCACAAATTATGTGGTCTTTGTCCTCCTGCGATGGTAATCTTTGTATGGATGATTGGATGGATGATGATTTTTTATCTGGTTTATGTAATAATGTTAATTTAAACTCCTCTACTAATTTTACTATTAAACAATGGACATACACTACACTAAGATAAAGGAATCAGACAGTGGACCAGAAAAGGATAGGGCTAAGGAAGCACTTCATCATTTTTGTAAAGTCCTAAAAATTAATCTAAAATAAAGATTTTATTTTCTATTTATTTGAAGAATGCCGCAAAAGTGCATAACTAACATAAACAATTCAACCTACTAAAACATTACAAAGATTGGAGAAAAAATAACATGTTTAATGGGCACAAAGATTTCTCATGAAAACCACTGCAAAAGAAAAAAAATGTATAATACCTAACTGCTAAAAAAGAACTGCAAAACACTCTTCCCAAACAAAACTAGAAATGTTTACACTCTAAGTAAAAAACACATAAAGCCAAATGCAACATCTGCCAATTATTTCGTGTACTCCTGGCCAGTTCTATCCCCAGGAGTACTCTCTCTGATGCAGAGAGAACCACACCTCTTTAGGAAAGAACTGTTTTCAGCAAAAAAATTAGAACATTAGAACATGCAACAGTAAGATTGTTTTTCTTTACTAAACAGTAATGACAAATCAAATGGTTTAATAAAGAAGATGTATTTTAGAAGCATTAATTTTCAACAAAAAAACTCAAAAACTTCTATTTTCAAAACATATTAAACTGTTCTCCTTCATAATGAGTGAGGATTATCATTAAATTAAAAATTATTTTCATAATCTTTTTTTTTTTTTGTCTTTTGTCTTTTTTCCGTGTCCGGCAACGGATCGCAACCCTCAGTGTTGCCCCCATACCGGACCGGGGACCGGCAACGGGATTGCAACCCTCGGTGTTGCTCCCGCGCCTCGCTCAGCCAGTGAGCGGGAACCGGTCTGTATGTGGGATCCGAACCCTCGGGCGGGAGTGCCCGCCGCACTTCCCAAGCGGCGCACTATCCAGTGCGCCACCGGGCCGGCCCTATTTTCATAATCTTAAAAAAAAAAAAACTTTACTGAATAGCTGGAGAGCTGTAAGGTACAGCTTAGTCTACGTAAATATACCCACCTCCCCCAGGACAACGCATATATTATAATGTTAATGGCACCCTGTAGGGTTGTGCAATGTTTAACAGTCCTGAGTTCCTAAAGAGAACTCATTTTAAAATGATAAGTATTTTAAATTTTGCTATAGGATCAAGAGAAAAATATATTACCTGTATACTGGGACGGTCAGAGATCAGAGCTCCTTCCTTGTTATAGGTATAAACTACAAAATCTTTAGGCAAAAGGTCTCTGGAAGAAGGAATAACACATACTGTTAAAATTTATTTTATCTATCTACAACTAAGGACACAATTCAGAAGGCATTATTCCTAGAAGAAATGAGCAGGAATAAATAAAAACTCCCACCTGATAAGTTATTACCTACAGAATGTGCTGCTATAAAACTGAAAGCTCAGGAACAGATGTGAATCTGAAACAGTATACATCACTAACTCATAAATAATGTTAAACTAAACATTTGCTCTAACAGTAATGAAATTCTGGTTGCAAAAAAACTTAACATAAGTAATGTCTCTAAATTTTTCTGATACATCGCATAGGAAAATTATAGATTAGGTTACTGACAGCACATCATATTTATAGAAGAAAAATGTTTTTTTTTTTTTTTTTTTTTTGTCTTTTTCCATGTCCGGCAACGGATTGCAACCCTCAGTGTCGCCCCCGTACCGGACCGGGACCGGCAACGGGATCGCAACCCTCGGTGTTGCCCCCGCGCCTCGCTCAGCCAGTGAGCGGGAACCGGTCTGTATGTGGGATCCGAACCCTCAGCGGGAGCGCAGCCGCGCTTCCCAAGCGGCGCACTAGCGCAGTACGCCACCGGGCCGGCCCGAAAAATGTTTTTTTACACTCTTTTCCAGAAGTCCTACATAAACAAAAAGCATTCATTGACTTAACCTCCTTAGGACAGAGGCAAAATTCTGTGTCAGTTGTTAGAGGAAACAATTACTCCTGATTCCTGAAGCTTCACTCCACGTTAAGGGAGCTCAGTAGTACAAATCACATGTGTAAGGACAGGGCTCTCTTGCAGTGGGACTGGAGCAGCTCTATGCTTATCTGCGAGACTTATGTCAGGGATGCAATGTGCTAACTAGCAATATGCCATTTAAAATTCAAAACTCACCTGAGACCAGCCTCTCTATATTGTTTAGAAATGGACACACGGTGGGGGGGCTACTTTTAAGTTTTCAAACTCCTCAAAGATTACCTGCACACTGTCCTGATTTACACATCCTTTACCTTTATTAAAGTCTACATGACAGGCTCGAGAGTAGCCTGTGGGATTTTGAGTCCTTTCAATAACCTGACCCTATGCAGTCACTGCAGTTTCCTGGTCTCCACCACTCCCCCACACGTCCACGCTCTGAAAAGAATAAACTGGAGCCCTCTTTCCTCGAGAAGTCAACGCCTGTCCAGCCAGAGCACAAATTCCGCTACGCTCGTCCAGAAGCAGGCTGCCACTGTGCAGCACTGACATGAATGCATAAATGTGCCTGATACCGACATTCAGTATCTTCCAAACATAGTTAACTGCAAAAGAAACCAATATACTACTGAAAAAAAAGTACTGAAAAGCCAAAGTAAATTAAATTCCTTACTTGTTCCTTTCCAAGTGAATAATATGTTCTTTTCCTTCAGCCTGAATGACATAAGATACCTAAATGCACAGAGAAGGAGAAAAAAATAAAACAACATTTTGTAAATTACTTTTCAAAAACACATCATTTATAAGACACAGGAAATGCCTTCCTGAATTAAAATAATTTGGTATTGACTATAATTGTGTTATAGAAAAACTCTGAATCTATTCTTAAATAACTAAAATATATTCTGCCCTGTACTGGCCAGCCTCCCCCCGAAAAACAAACAAACAAAAATAATATATATATATGTATGTATGTATTTGTGTGTGTGTATATATATATATATATATACCTGTGTATATGTAAGTATATATTCTGATCATCCCTATCTTTTTTTTTTTTTTTTTTGTCCTTTTTGAGACCGGCTGCACCACACTCAGCCAGTGAGCGCTGTGAACACACCGGTCATCCCTATATAGGATCCGAACCAGCGGGGGGCAGTGCTGCTGCGCTCCCAGCGCCGCATTCTCCCGAGTGCGCCACGGGCTCAGCCCATTCCTATCTTTCTTTAATAATTGACCACGGAGGGCCGAGCCCGTGGCGCACTCGGGAGAATGCAGCGCTGGGAGTGCAGCAGCGCTCCCGCCACGGGTTCGGATCCTATATAGGGATGGCCGGTGGGCTCACTGGCTCAGCACAGTGCGGCCGGTCTCAAAAAGGGCAAAAAAAAAAAAAAAAAAATTGATCACGGAAAATCACCTGCATGTTTATCTAAACTCTTCAATTCATTTATAATTCAGCTATAACTTCAGGGATTTGTTTTTAAGTCTATCTACATTACAAAGTAATTCTTCCTTTTGATTAAATGAAATGAACCTCTAAGTTTCAAGAGATTACCCTTAGTCCTAGTTATCCAAAAGTTGTTCATATTAACCTCTCTGAAATAAGGATGCATCATACAAAGACACAGCAGTCTAATTGGCAGCACTTCTGTCTTTTATTAGTGGTACATAAAATGATATAGTTTGTCTTACAACTGATGGCATTTTAAATCAATGAATTAACATAAGGTAGCTTACATTTACATATGCTCAAGCTCATGAGATCCTCTTCACTACCTCAAACAACTTTGAAACAATTTCCCCAGAACTTTCTCAGCCATTTCATTAGCCAGAATTGCATAACGTAATCACTAGAACCAGGAGATTCAACTTTGCCTTAACTCTCTAATAAAAAAGAAAGTCATAGAGGGACTCAACAACTAATATTATCAGAAGTGTCTATTTAATTTTCCCCACTGCTTCCAGACTCTAAGTTAACATTTTGCCAAGAAATAGCATGATCCATTCTGCCATAGCACATCAACCTCTAAATTCTAAGAACTAGACCAACTTCTGGATCCTGGCATTTTACTTCCACATCCTATGTGGGAATCAGAGAACTCTGTTATCTACCTCACTATCCACTGAGACATCAAAAATACCAAGCTCCTTACATCGCCACAGTTTTGGCACGTGCCTTTCTATCCTTTCTGTTCTTGGCCAATCATATGATGTAAAAACATCACTGCTATCTCCACTGAGAAGAAATCTGAGAGTCTGAGAATTGTTTTGTGATACTACACTCCTCCCCCAAAGACAGTAGTTCCCCCTTATTTGTGGAAGACACATCCCAAGACCCGAAGAAGATGCATGAAACTGCTTATAGTACCAAACCCAAGATAGCTACTAACAGGCAAGTGAAACATACAGTGTGGATACACTGGACAAAGGGATAATTCACATCCCTGGCAGGATGGGGCGGGGCAGAGCAGAGCAGCATAAGAGTTCATAAAGCTACTCACAACAGTGTGCACTTAAAACTTATGAATTGTTTCTGTCTAGAATTTTCCATGAAATAATGTAGTAGATTGAATTATGTCCCCCCAAAACTCATTGAAGCTTAAATTGTGTTCCCCAAGTTTTATGTATTAGAAACTTGGCCCCTGGGCTGGCCCAGTGGCGCACTGGAGAGTGCGCCACTTGGGAGCGCAGAGGCGCTCCCGCCGAGGGTTCGGATCCCATGTGGAGACCGGTTCCCACTCACTGGCTGAGCGAGATGCGGGCACAACACCGAGGGTTGCGATCCCATTACCGGTCAGTAAAAAAGACAAAAAGGAAAAAAAAAAAAAAGAAACTTGGCCCCCACTGTGACTGTCAAGAGGGTGGGAAATCCTATTAGGGTATTTGAAAGGTGAGGCCTTGAAGAGGTGATTAGATTGTAGGGTCGTGCAGTAGTGAATGGATTAAAAATGTTGGTCAGGGCTGTGGTTCTGAGGATTTTAAAAGTAGAGAGAAGAGAGTCTGTCTTTCTGTCTGCTCTGTCTCTCTGCTCCAGCATTTCACAGTGTGATACCCTGTGTCACTGTCACCACCACCAAAACCCTCACCAGAGGTGTTCCCTGGACTTTGGACTTCCTAGCTTCTGAAACTATAAGCAATAAATTTTGTTTTCTTTATAAAATATCTAGTTCCATGTATTTTGTTATAAGCAACAGAAATGGACTAAGACAGTGAGTAACAATATAATATAAATGTCTTCCCA